GTGTCTATTTTGTTCATTATCCTGTAAATAAATAAAAGAAACGAATTATATAAAGAAATCATTGCCGTTCATCTTAACTTGCTATATGTATAGAAAAAAACATATATACTGACGGAATGCCATGGATGTTGACCTTCAAAAACAGTTTTTGCAGTCAATTATCTGCCGCCACCACTACTTATTCAAACAAGATGGGCAAAAAATTATATACAAGAAGATAAATCCTATTCAATTTTTCAAAAGTGCAAAAAGAGTCCCAATTAAAATAATTTTAGAAAATTTTAAATTTCTTTCATCTTCAACCAACCCCCAATCCTTGTCTAACCCCCTTTTACCACCCCTACCCCATTTCATGTCATATCCTTTTCTCTCTCTCTCTCTGAGATGGTGGGGCACGTAAACAGAAGAAAAAGAGGAAAGCCTATCTTTTTAATTATTTTAATGAGACTCCTTTATACTTTTTTAAAAATTTAAGAATGTGGTTGCAATTATTTTTTTATTTTCTTTTGTTTATTTAAAAAAAGAGTAAAGTTGTCATTTTATGAGGTTTTAATGGAGAAAATGAACGACGGGATTATTTTGCACAATGTTCGCTTGATCCAAGGAAGTATTGTGCCAAAATAAAATAATATGGTTGTTTTTGTGTAAAATATGTAAACGATTAAATTGTTTTGTGTCAATTACCTTTTATATTTATATTTTGTTCATAATCTCAAAATTTATCTCGATAATTAAATTGACGAATTTAATCATGTTGACTGGCTGATTTAATAAATCATTTGGGTTAATAGCGTAACCCAATTTTATGGTACATTCAAGAGACGTGCCAGACATGAGCAATAAAATTCAAATATTGTTTGATTAATCTGCAGAATACCAGAGTTTTTCTTTTTCAACACTCTAATAAAGACCTCTATTTATGATTTTTCGAAAAGTACACAACAAAAAATAGAAAATGAGTTGAATAAAGAAAGATTATTTGACGAATTCGCCAACACAAACAGAGAAGGATGACCAATTCACTAGTCAAAACTTCAATTATATAAAAAAAAAATTACGTGTCTTTTTTTGCCACTTTGCCGTGTGGTTCGGGTTCCCTTTATAGCACACCTCTCTTTCAAACTTGGAAGGTAAGTTTGTCAATATTTTATTAACTTCTATGTACGATCTTCTGTGTATCTTGATTCTAGAACCGTGGCTTTATGCCTCTGATTCTTTATTTAATTAGAGCTTGTTTGGAAGAGATTTTTGAGGGAAGAATTGATTTTGAATAGTAATATGATGAGAAATGTGTGGTTAAAAAAGAAGATAAGATTATTGATGTGATAGAAAATATTATTTTATTGAAGAATGTGTGGTTGAAAATGAGAATTGATTTACTGTTGAAAATAAAAATTGATACCAAACATACCCTAAATAGGAGTACTCAGGATTTGGGAGGACAAATGCGTCATGTCACGCCTGGAAAAACCCTTGATATAGCACCGTCATCTCCTGATCACTTATTTCTCTCCCGCCTCCCCCTTCCGCCAACCATGGCTCAACCGGAAACACCAATAAACCCTAATCCTAGCCCGAATCCGAACACTAACACAAGTCTTCTATTAGCACCAGAACCATTTCCAGATCAACCGCCGTCTTCGGCTACGGTGACGTCTGATAATCCAAGCGGTTCCACTACTGCTGTTAATACTAGGAACAATCTAAAGAGGGCTCGCGAAGAGTATACCGTGGTAGATGCTGCGGCAGAGACTTCAACCGATGTTCCGGCACCCAAGCGTCGATTGAAGGCGACGCACGACGTTATATACCGCATCGTGGTGCCTTCGAGACAGATCGGGAAAGTCATAGGAAAAGTGGGGCATCGTATTCAGAAGATTCGCGAAGATACAAAAGCCACTATTAAGATTGCGGATGCCATTTCTGTGCGTAAATATGGTTATCTTGATTGAATATTGTTTTTCATTAGATATCGTGATAATTTTTGTTTTTTATTCTTGATAAATTGGATCCAACAGCTACCTCTTCTGGGGGGAGAAGATGATTTTTATCTCTGACCGCGTATCGCTATTTGTTTCCAATGAAGTCTAAGATATTGATTTAAAAAAAATAAAATTTGAGATAATTTGAGATGTGGAGGTGAGGATGGAAGGGGAATTTGTTTTGTCATTAAATTTATGAATTAGGTAAATACTCTTAAATGGAACTTCGGGGCAAATAAAAAAACGTTCTTAATTGGGAACCTTTTGTTGCTAAGTGTAGAAAAAATATTAAGGTTTAATTTTAAGAGCAAATTGTTGCTGAAAAAGTAAAGTGGAACCTATGGTGTGGAAGGGAAAGAGCATTTTGAATTTCAACATTCCTGTAGTTATAGATTAACCGAGTAAGTATATGCATTTCTAGCAATGATAAAGTTTGAAGTAAAACAGGAGAAAAGGGAAGCTATGAATGAATTATAGTCTATCAGCTGCAGAGAAGTTTTTGTATATAGGAAGATCATTGCATGTTATTTTAGATGATCCCGTTTGCTAGTTAATTAACCTTTGCATGTAAAAGACATTTTTAAAATATAAGATAAGAGTATGATGTGCTACATTCTTGTGTATTGTTTGGCTGAGTAGTATTCTTTAATGGGCTAATGAAGTAAGGTCAAATTTTGGCTTTTATTTGCTTGTGCTGCTGGACATTTTTTAACTTCTGTGCTAATACATATTATGTATTATTTCTGCAGTAGATTTTCCTAATGTTTGTTCAATTACCTGATATTAATATGCGATAGTTCAATTTACCTCTAGATTTTGCGTTTTACAGCGACATGAAGAGCGAGTGATCATTATAAGTTCTAAAGATAGTGACAACATATTCTCTGATGCAGAAAATGCCCTTCATCAAATTGTTAGTTTGATCCTCAAGGTAATGTGGTATACTATTATAGTGCTATCGGGTTTGCAGTTGGATCCTTTTAAGTTCTCTTTCATAGTGCGAGTGTTGTTGTCAATGCATTTATATTGTAGCTAGGTATTAGCTAATGTGTGGGTTAATATTTTTATTATTTCTAAGTTTCTTCTTTATCATGTGAGCATCATTTATGTGGGAGGGCGAGAATCAAAGAAACAATGCATGAGTTAATGGTTTTGTAATTCAATGAATATATCATCATGTCTTCCCGTGTTAACAAACAAGTTTATGTTGTGGTTTGGGAACCATAAATAAATTTTCATCTGGGAAGCACTGACAAACTTGCGGCACTGTCGAGTTGGTGTCCAAATTTGTCACTGGCCGACATGTTTTGAATATGCCAGGTGGCATGTCAAATGTTTTCCTTTAATTTCTTCCTTGAGTACTTACAGATAAATGAAAAGAAAAATGATAAAGTAACCTAGCCTATCGTTACCTTACATTTTTGATGGCTAAATCGAAAGCCCATGATCTCGCGACAATTGGTGGGTGTCGTCGGCATTTGGCTATTTTCAATTTATCACTTTGAATGGCGCTAATGGCGAAAGAAACCGTAGTTGAAGAACAAAATCGACTTCTCTGATTTCTTAAGCAGGACACTCCTTTTCTCTCTTGTTAATTGCATGCTTAA